AAAAAAAAAAAAAAAAAAAAAATCCTAAATTTGGACTAAACAAAGGAACACAATATTAAAAATGACACTTAAATGCACTTACACCAGTAATGACGAACCTTTCTACAAACATTTATATAAATCCCCCATAAATCTCCAAAAAACAAATAAATAAAAATAAATAAAAATGAAGAAATCCAATCTCCCAATAATTTTCCTCCATCTCCTAATAACCACCACTTTCTCCTCCTCCGCGTCCGCAGACAATCCAACCTACGCCGCGTTTGTCCACTGCCTAACCCAACAAAACATCCCGCCCAACATCTCCTCAAAAATCGTCTTCCCCCCAAACGCGCCCCAATTCCCCGCCGCCCTCCATTCCTACATCCGCAACCGCCGCTTCAACACCACCGCCACCCGCAAACCCGCCTTCATCGTCCTCCCCACCGCCGACCCCCACGTCTCCGCCGCCGTCCTCTGCTCTGCCCGCCTCCGCATCCACCTCAAGATCCGCAGCGGCGGCCACGACTACGAGGCCACCTCCTACACCTCCGACGACGACTTCGCCCTCCTCGACCTCTCCGAATTCCGCTCCATCCGCATCAACTCCTCCGCCAAAACCGCCACCGTCGGCCCCGGCGCCACCCTCGGCGAACTCTACTACCACATCTGGAAAAACTCCAAAACCCTCGCCTTCCCCGCCGGCGTCTGCCCCACCGTCGCCGTCGGCGGCCACATCGGCGGCGCCGGCTACGGCAACATGCTCAGGAAACACGGCCTCACCGTCGACCACGTGTCTGACGTCACAATCGTCATCGGCAACGGCTCGATCCTCAACCGGGCCTCCATGGGCCCAGACCTTTTTTGGGCCTTACTCGGCGGCGGGCCCGCCAGCTTCGGTGTCATCCTCTCGTACGATATCGAGCTCGTCCGCGTCCCGCGAACCGTCACAGTTTTCCAAGTCAAGAAGTACCGATCTGACCGCGCTGCGGAAGCCGTTTACGAGTACGAAAATATCGTCTCCTCGATGCCCGACGAGCTATTCATCCGAGTCCTCATCCAGCCTGTTACTGGCCCGGAAAATGGAAAAACCGTGCGCGCCACGTTTATCGGGCAGTACCTCGGCCGAGCAAAAAACCTACTCAACATAACGTCTCGGTTATTCCCGAGCCTCGGGTTGACAAACGAGTCGTGCCACGAGATCCCGTGGATACAATCGGTTCTCTACTGGGACGATAGGGAAAACGGCCTTGACCGCACTCCCAAGGAGCTCCTTAACCGAGAGCTCAACACTGCGAGTTTCGTCAAGAGGAAATCGGACTACGTGAAGAAAACGATACCGATAGTCGAGCTCGAGGCGATATTCGACAAGGTGATACAACTCGGGAAAGTCGGGATGGTTTTCAACTCATATGGTGGGATAAACAGTAGGATTTCATCGAATGCCACGGCGTTTCCACATAGGGAAGGGAATCTTTTCAAGATTCAGTACTCGGTTAATTGGGACAACGAGGCGGATAGCGAAAAGTACGTCGAGCAGTCGAGGGAGCTTTACGAGTTCATGACGAAGTACGTTTCGGAAAATCCAAGGGAAGCGTATTTGAATTATCGGGATTTGGACATCGGAGTGATGCCGGCCCGAGAAAACAGCTATGAAATCGGGAAAGTTTACGGGGAGAAGTATTTTAAAGATAATTTCCGGAAGCTGGTGAGTGTCAAGACAAAAGTTGATCCTGATAATTTTTTCAGGAATGAACAGAGTATTCCGACATGGGGCAAGAAAAGGCTTTGACTTTTGACAGTTGCCGGTCAATGCTTGACTTTTTTGGATCACGCGGTTGTACGATTTATCCTTACAGGCAAATAATAGTATTAAATGTTGAGAAGCTTTGGCGTTTTTCTTTTGTCCGCGTTCATTATTGCTTTTTGCGTTTTTAGTTGTCGTTTTAGTTAAGGGCGTCACTCTCACTAGAGGCGTTCTTGTGCCTTCTCTGTTTTTCTCTTGAGTTAGCTTGCTACGTGTTGGCTTCTGATTGGGCGATAATTCACGTGGGTTGTGTGATCATCGTCTTCCTTTAATATTTACCTGAGCATGCAGATTTTCGCAGATTATGAATGAAAAACAAAGTTTTTGAAATTCTCTCAAAACTTCGTACAAAAATGTTGAAAGCTTCATAAATTTACATGGTATCAGAGCGGATTTCTAGATAAATCATGGCACGCAACAGAGAAGAACACGGGAATGAGATCGTAGGCAAATACAACTATTCTCGAGACATCGATCAATTAGCTCTACATAGATCTGACCATTATGGGATGATTCTTGTCGCAAACCAACTTACAGGCTCAATTTGACTTCGTTGTAGTCGAGCGATGAAGCTGGCTTTAGGAGCAAATTTCAAGCTTGGGTTTGTGTATGGGTCAATCAAAATATCATATCAAGATTCAAAGCAATATGGGAAGTATCAGAAAGTCGAATTCATGGTAATTTCATGGCTTGTTAATTATATTTCAAAAGACATTGTTGAGGCTTATATATGTAAAGAGTTCGAAGCAACTTTTGAATGAATTGGCCGAGAGATATGGTAAGAGCAATTGACTTCTAAGGTACCAATTGCAAAAGGAGATTGTCAATTTCTCTCAAGGAACTTTTACAGTCACTGTTACTATACAAAATTGATATGCCATTGGGACGAGTATGTTTGCTTAGTTTCATTGCCAGACTGTGAATGTGGTGCTGGGAGGAAATTTCATGAAAATGATATGGAGGTGAAGTTAATGCAGTTCCTCACGAGGCTAAATTAAGTCTTTGTCTCTTTGAGCCAGTTAAAAAAAAAAAAAAAAAAGATTCTTCTTATGGATCCTTTGCCAACTATAACTATGGCTTACTCAATAATATTAAAGGTGGAGAAGCAAATGATCACTAACGTAGGTATCACAAATCCTTTGAAGATAGATGCTATATGGCCAAGGAAAATTATGTGATAGGTGCTTTAAGACCTACAATCTTTGGTAGAAATGATGGCAGGCCACTTTGAGGACAAGGTTACAACAATGGAGGCAAATGTAGAGAAAATCAAAGGTTAAACAAGTAACAAAGAGCAAGGTTGTTTTTGCACCAATAGTAGCTACAATGGGCATGAGGTCCAAGGGTATTTTAAGATAAATGGCTATCCTGACTAATATAAAGGGCTAAAAGGGCAAAGATCGAACCAAAATGCTAACATGGCAGAATGTGTTGAGATAGCAAAAGGTGTAGCTTTTGAAGTTAAATCTCAGTATAGTGATACAATGCCAAACATAAGTTCCATGATCCAAAAGAAGATTGTAAAATACCTTTCATGAAGTCAAGCAAGTGAGAATCATTCTTTTTCTCATACAATGCAAAACATAAGTTCAATGATCCAAAAGAAGATTGCAAAATACCTTTCATGAAGTCAAGCAAGTGAGAATCATTCTTTTTCTCATTTTGTGCAGTATCCAGTGAACATGGAGGATTATGCCTTCTTGTTATTGAGTAAGCTAGAAAGGGGCAGTTGGATTACAAATACTTGCAGGCAGTTGGATTGCAGATACTGGTGCAAGCAAACATATCTTCTCAGATGTTGATATGGCTCATAACCTCTTTGACCTAACAATCCCTATTGTGGTTAATCTTTCTGATGGTTTTAAGGTTGAAGTGAACACAATTGTTGAAGTAAGACTCAATGACAAAATAAGACTAAAAAATGTGCTCCTAATTCCAAACATCAAGTATAATTTGTTGTCTGTGGGGCAGCTGGTTGGTGATTATGGTCTCAAATTTGAATTTACAAATGGTGGTTGCAAGCTAATGGGTCGCGTGAGAAATGTGACTTTATGATGTAGGGAAGCATAAGAGTGGGAAGAATAAACGAGTAAACGAGATACTCTCTCGTAAAACACGTAAAACTCACAATATCTAATCTTGTTTCATTTCAATAATCAACTCCATAACATAAAAGATGAGGAGTCATTTAAATAAGGCTCCTAAACCCTAATACTAACTTGTCCAACAAGACTAGAATTCTTACTAAATATTAAACAATAATCTCTAACTTATTCTCCAAGACACCTATTAAATAATAATAATAATAATAACAATAATAATAATAATAATAATAATAATAATAATAATAATAATAATAATAATAATAATAATAATAATAATAATCTACACTATTCTCCTCCGGTTCGGAAGGCTTCGCCCTTGAAGCCGATGCGCACCCGTGACTGGCGTGTGGTGTCGAACTCATGGTAGGAAACCCCATCATTTTCTCCGATCAAAAACGAAGGTTGAACGTCGTCCAACCAATGCAACACTCTCTTGATTTTCATCAAATAGAGATACGACTACAACCGTCGCACCATCATCAATAATCGATACCAAGACTCTTCCAGGGAAAGACATTGTATCAATACACCTTGGGTGCAGCCAAGAGCAAGCACATATGCCTTTAGGATCAAACCCCACACAAAAAACATGATACCTATTAGAGGAATCACAGGCAATGGCTTGATAGAGAAAGCGGGTAGTGTTCGTGGTGCGGAAGGCCTTCTCCGTACTTGGAGCTCTCGTGATAAACAAGATGGTACTAGCAAGTGCTATGATTTCCTCCGTCCTAAAGGTACCGAGAAGCCATGGACCGGGGTTGTTTGGGGGAGTTGCAACACCCCCAAGCACTCCTTCATCTTATGGCTTGGAGTGATGAGTAGACTCCAAACGAGAGATCGCCTTGAGTTCCTCAATGAAGACCCGACTTGCCCCCTTTGTGGAGTCGAAAACGAATCCTCGAAGCACCTCTTCCTCGAATGCCCCTTTAGCTCGGAAATATGGAGTGAAATTCGAACTTGGGTGAGACTCCGACATAGGCCAATCACACTCAAGGGCGCCCTTAAATGGACCAAAAAGAAGGAAAATGCACGTCTTGGAGAGCCAAATTAAAGAAAGCGGCGCTTGCGGAAACTGTGTACTTTATTTGGAATGCGAGGAACCGGTTGATCTTTGAGAATGAAAGCCAGCCTCCAAGCCTCGTGATTAAAAAGGTAAAGACTCATGTCTATCGATCTATCTTTGCTATTTACCCGAGTGTTTTGGACGAATTCGAGAGGAGGTGTCTCGGTAATCTTTGAGTTGGTTGTTGTGAAGTGTGGTTGCACTTGGACGATTTTGTTACGCGAGTGAGCAACCAGATTGTGGTTATCCTCGTTATTTTTGCTTTTGCAAGTGAGGAGCCGACTTGTGGCTACCCGCTACGCTCTTGAAAGCCGCTTTGGTTGTATGACTTTACGTTTTGATCAATATAAATTTATTTAACGATAAAAAAAAATAAAAAATATGTGAATCTACATCAATTGATACCGATCCACTACAAATCTTGCAGCAATCTCCATGCACGCAAACAATTGCATTAATGTCTATTCCTATGTCCCTGTAAAGATTTTTCTCCGTTACCGGAGGCTCTTCATCGAAAATTAGCGGACCATCGTACAATGGCCCGTCAACTTGCTCACTGTCGAATTCGGGGATGTCGACGCGAAACGGGCCCTCACAATGACCATATTCGCGATTAAGTATCCAATCCCGTCGGGCACGATATCTGCCAGCGAAGGCTGCCTTCTCGCGCCAGCCCATGTCGCTGCGTTGATCATCACCGTCCACGAAACCGTTCAGAGGTGGCGGGGACCACTGTCGAGGTGCCCCGACATGGTTGCGTTCCACACAATCGCCTCTGTCTCCCCCGCGAAAGCCACGGTCCACAGCCCCATCGCGGTTCGTTTGCAATTCTGAAACAACCACGTTGTTAAGCGTCAAATGCAAATCCTCAATCCCCGTCGAAAGATCGGCAAACCAATCCGTCAAACGTACGTCCAACTAATGAAATTGGTAGTCAATCTGTTGAAACCGATCGTTGAAGGTTGCATCACGTTGTTTGTTTGCGTCATCTTGTCGTCTCGGCGGCATCACGATCATACTGATTGCTGATACCAACTGATGTAGGGAAGCGTACGAGTGGGAAAGATAAACGAGTAAACGAGATACTCTCTCGTAAAACACGCAAAACTCACAATATTTAATTTTTTTTCATTTCAATAATCAACTCCATAACATAAAAGATGAGGAGTCCTTTAAATAAGGTTACTAAAATCCTAATACTAACTTGTCCAACAAGACAAGAATTCATACTAAGTATTAAACAATAATTTCTAACTTATTCTCCAAGACACCTATTAAATAATAATAATAATAATAATAATAATAATAATAATAATAATAATAATAATAATAATAATAATAATAATAATAATAATCTACACCACTTTAGCTACTGTTAAAGCACTTGTGGTTATATGTACTGGTTGAAACAAAATGTTTTGTCAATGCAATAGCAGATGATGTCATTGAGACTAAGGATATTGAATTCTGACACAAAGGCTAGGCCACAACTCTATGTGTTGCATGAAGCATATTGATTTCTTCAAAGCTAGTTGTTCAAGGAGCGCTTTGGTAGTATGTGATGTTTTCCATAGAGGAAAACATTGCAGGTTAACCTTCCACAGAGTGACATTCATACTAAGACTAAATTTGAATTGATTCACATAGATGTGTGGGGTCCTTATCATGAAAATTTTGTGGCAAATACTTCTTACATGCTCACTATTGTTGATGATTTTACAAGAGGGACTTGGAATTTTCTTATGAAACAAAAGTCTGAGACATACGCACTCTGAGCTGCTGCAAGGCGTTGAGAAATGTCTCCAAAAACCGTCCAATTCCACTGCGCCGCGGTCTCCCGGGCTTCGTCTCAGGTTGTGCATCCCAAAGAGCCCCGTTGGTTGTTGCCAAGAAGCCCTCACCGTGTGGTGGCGAATCCACATGTTTTGAAACCGAAAGGAGGAGCCTCGGGTGGTGTTCTAAAACCGACACTAGATAAGAAGGGGAGCATGATCAGATTCAATTCGAGGGAAGTGTGTGACGGTCGTGACCACAAACACCCTCGTCCATGCCTCAAGACTAAAGCACGGTCGAGCCTTTCCTTGACTCTGGCCCGCTCCCACGTGAAGGGTGAACCTTCGTATCCAGCGTCGATTAACTCACAATCCGCCACCACCTGAGAGAAATCTAAGATCTCTGCAGAGCGGTCCGACTGGCCACCAACGCGTTCATCGGGATGAAGAAAGATGTTGAAATCACTGCTAACCATCCACAGTAATCCCTCTATGCTTTTAGCAATCTCACGCATGGTGTCCCACATTATCATAACGACCAACCCTTGCACAACTGGCATAGACCATGGTATGGAAAACTGGTTCCGGGAGGTGGGCAGCAGAGAGCTCAACGTGCATGACCTGTTTAGTGTCACGGATGACCCGACAGATAAAGTCACGAGAGTAAAAGAACCAGATCTTATTAGAGGTATTTCCCAACGCCAGAGTGGAACCCAAGGCGGCGTGAACATATGTCAAAAAAAGGTTTACGGGTCATGAGCTCTAAGAAAGCAGCAAAGTCAAGACACATGAACTCTAAGAAAGCAACAAAGTCGAGACACAATCTAAACACACCTTATAATCTCAACTTTGCAGATGGAGTTTATCCAAACTATTTCAATAGACTCATTACATTAATTCGAACCAATCAACTCAAATTTAAAGTCTTTTTAAATATTTGCAAACAATCTTAATAGCGTGATATGAATGTTATTTTCCCATTTTGAAGTCCAAATTCAATGTACCATGTCTGCAGTTTCTTGAGCAATTGTTCCACGTTTCTAAACAAACGAAGCTATTAACAAGAAACAAACAAATATTTAACTCCCAACAATAAAAAAACCCAGAGAATATCCAACTTTAAGAAACATATCAAATTCTGACCACAAACACATCAAAGACGCAATCAACCAATCTAAAATAATAAGCCTATAATAACAACAAAATAAAATAAAATAAAATAAAATAAAATAAAACAATAAGCCTAGTGAATGACAACGTTAATTATTACACGAGATCATCATGAAATAAAATAACATATAATGAAATAGGACATCTCATCTGATTTTGTCCAAATCATAAACAATAAACAATACATACAACTAATTAATACAATAATTCTATGGAGCAATCGGATGGCTCCGTTATGGAGTCATCCATAATTTTATATACTGACACATGTCTAATGTGCATTTATTTCAGGACACGTGTCAAAACCGCTAATTAATGATACATCCCAACAATTGAGCCAATAGAATCACTAAAAAAATGCTAAAGAACATTCCACCTCAACATAGTTTACTCCCAATTGCAACCTTACAATGGAGCAAACACTATTATTCAATACATGATCCAAAAGGACCATAACACACAATCTAACAATTCATTTAACTCTCACATAGTCACATTCAACTGGACTTCAAGCACCCGAACCCAGGGCCGTCACCCGGCTCTGGGACGGGGCCCTTACTGGCTTCCTCACCGGGCTGGACCGTGGCGAATCCAAACTCCTCAGAAGCAAATGCTTGACGGCATCGATCAAATCCTCGGTCGGGTTCTTTGGTGGGCTTCGGGCCTTGAACTTCCTACAGAAGTTCATGTGCTGGCTCAGGGCCTCCTCGGGCCCGATCTTTTTGTTGGATCTGAGCATCTCGTACTTCACCGCCTCGCCGCAAAGCCCGCAAATCCAACGGCCCGAATAACGGTCCCTCACGCGCCGCGCGTACTCCTCCGTGCACTCTTCCGTAAGTCCGCAGCAGTCGCATTTTACGGACACGACGTCGTTTGCCTTTATCTTGGTCGTTTGGTTTGCGACTTCCATTATTACAGCGCTGAGTACAAATTCTGCTTTTTTTTTTTGTTTATCTCTCTTTCTCCCACTCTCTTTCGCCGCCGACTTCCATATACATTTCAGCGAGCCCTCTTTGGCTCTCTGTTTTGCTTTTCGTGATTGAATTAAAAAAAAAAAGAGAGAGAGAGAGAGTTAAGCTACAAAAATAAAGGATAAGGATATTTTACTCAACATTTTTCTTTTAAAGATTATTGCAGAATTTGAGGAGCTAGAAAGACCGACTAGAATTATATATAAGGAAATGCTACAGTCCCATTACGGAACCATTTCGTCGAGGTTTGTAACCGTTAGATCGAGAATAGTTGATCTAACGGTTACAAAACCCGACAAATGGTTCCCGGACCGTAGCATCTAGCTTATATAATGACTAATGGAACTGTGAGCCTTTTTTTTTTTCCTTGTTTTCGTTATGTTGTTTTCTTTTTTTTTTTTTTTTGTTGGAGAAGAGGAAGTAGGATAGAATTTGTGAACTCTTTTTGCCAACTGTGCAGTGTTTTAACGTGAGTAGTACTGACAAAAAATGTCTACATCCAGATATTGGTGGTTGTGTACGTGCCGTGGTTATTTTTTTCCGATGATGTCGTTTTTTACCGGCTGTGGGGACGAGATCGGAGATATAATAGGCTGCATTTTAAGACGGGTAAGTACTAATTATGGCTCCATAACTGCCGCATTAAGCTGTTAAACGAACTAACAAGGTTCGTTTGGATTCGGCTTGACTCGTGAAAATTGGAGTTCGATTTATTTGTTTACTTAAACGAGCTGTGCTCGAAAAGCTAACCGAGTTTCTTCGTGATCTGTTCCTTTTGTGTCTTCCAATGAAAGAGTCGAACTCAATGTGTTTGTGAATATCTCATTAATATTTCATATTTATTAAGCGACTCAAATCGAGTTCGAATGAGAGCTACTTGGTCCGACTCTGCTGGAATAATACACTTATAAAAAATCTAGTACAATTCGCAATCCGATGCAAGAGCAGTTGGCTTGGATAACCAGTTTGAAATCTCTAGAGGTCGTCTATGAGGAACGCGACCAAGGTGATGAGATCGGCTAGCTTAAGGGGTCTATGAAGCAAACAGTACCGGAACTGGTAAGGAGGTCAGAAGTAGGGGTGGGATTTTATACCCGAGAACCGGAGAACCGAACCGGTTCGGTCCGGTTATTTAAAAAAAAAAAAAAACTATTTTTTCGGTTCAGGTATTTTTTGCATGTTTTCGGTTCCGGTTCCCGGTTCCTTTCCAAGAGTATTGGTATTGACCGAGGAACCGGTTATATATGTGAAAATATTCATGTTTTATATGTTTATATGTATAAATCGGTTCCGGTTCTTGTACTTAATATTCGGTTCTTCATTTTTGCATTCGGTTCTCGGTTTTTCATGATATTTTTAGTCCGTGAGTTGCATTTTTTGACCGGTTCTTAACTCAAAACCGGTTTTTGTCGGTTATTTTTTGTTATTCGGTTAACCTAATAACCGAAAAAACTGAACCGTTATAAACCGGTTCGGTTCTTTTTCGGTTCCTGCAATTTTTTAGGTGCTAACCGAACCGGTTTTTTTTTGGTTCGGTTCCGGTTCCGGTTCTTGAAAAAAAAAGATAAGAACCGGACCGGTCCCAAGCCTAGTCAGAAGGGTAGCAAGAAGTCAAGTCACATGTGACCTTAGACATGGCCAGTCAACGGTTCCGGGCATATTTCGATTCGCATTTTAGTTGAACCGGAACCAGCTCTAGAATAAGTATGTGTTGGTTCATTGAACTGGCAGCTCCCGGTTCAATATCGTCTTCGCGGGCCTGGTTCATATCTGACCTAACAACCTCGAACCGACTGGCCTTTGCATTTTTCTTTTCTTTTGGGAAGAATTGGAGGGGGCGGGGGATAAAAAAATTAGATTGGGCTTAGTTGATATATTATAAGTTAAAATTTCTATTAAGTTAAATATTTTTTATTAAAAAAAGGTTATTTTAACTTATTATATGTCAATTAAGTTGCCTATGCATCTCATACATTGGAATTCAAAGTTCTCCAGTGCGCTTACCATACTTATCTTGACGAAAGAAGATGACATGATGCGTTGAATGGTCTAGTAATCAGATGCGTAGTCATACTCGTTGTCATCGATTGTTGCACGGGTTCCACTAGTACTACTATAATCATCCAGCTCTTCGTCATCCTCTTAAGTTAGCATGGTCGTTTGTGTCCTTCTTTTTGCCTTTTTTCAATCACTCAGCAGCTTTTGAGCCTTTAAGTTTGTGGCGTCAACCTTGACGTCGTGCTTCCAGAGTATATCATTTCTCGCTAAATGCTTGTTCAACCGGTACAGCTGAGGCTGGGACAACGAAAATCTTATTGGTCATCAAGCATGGAACATGATAAGAGGTCTTCATTTTTTTCCACAAATCTAAGACGTCAAATATAAGTGGCGGAACCGATGGTCAGGAAATCATAAGTCTGATATGCGACCTCAAGAAGTGATCGTGCAAGAGAAGTTAGCTTGGATAACTAGTCCGAAGGATCTAGAGCTCGTTGTGAGCAACGCGACATAGGTGATGAGCTCGGCTAGGAGCTTAGGGGCCTTCGCGACCTCCTTAAGGGGTGTATGAAGCATATGGTACTCGAAGGGTAGGAAGAAGTTAAGTCGGTAGAACAAACGGGTACAAACTTAAACATGGACAGTCAACTATCGATTCTGGTTGGTATTTTAGTTAAATTGGAACCGACTTGGCAAACAAAAAACTCGTAATCTTCTTTTCAAATTCATATCAGACCAAAATTTATGGAAAGATATGAGATTTGAATTTGAAGAATACTCATAATCGCGACAGCTAAAAAAAAAAAAGCTACGTGATCGATCGACAATAATTCAAAGATATACCGAAGATATAAACCATACATATACTGAAGATATACTGAATATAAACCAAACATATGACGAAGATATACCGAAGATATACTGTACATATACACCAAAATAAACTATACATATCCATGATTTTACTAAATATAAAACCATAAATATACCGAAAATATAATGAATATAAATCATACATATGACGAAGATATACCGAAGATATACTGTATATATACTTTAGGGTGTTCACGGTCTGGATTGGTCTAGTTTTAGCTCAAACCATGACCAAACCGAACCTAACGGTTAATTTTTTTTCTTGTCCATAACCGGACCGGTTTTATTTTTTAACCGGCCACAATCCGGACCGCATTGGACGGTCCGGTTTGGCGGTTAACCGGTTAAATCCAAAATCCTTGTTTTGGGCCTTCATTTTTTATTTTTTTTTATTTTGGGCTTAATTTTTTTTTTAATTATGGGCCCAAAAGAGATTATTTGGGCCTAAAAATTAACCAAAAAAACAACAATAATGAAACAAAAAATACACAATTCGTCCCATAAGCATAAAAATATACATTTCGTCCCATAAAGTGAAAGTGGATGTATTATATTTGTCAGCCATAATTAATGACTGAATGTATATATAT